CATTTTTCACTCACCTGGTAAGGCTGCTGGGAACTCTGTAAGCAAGGTATCAGGTCAATATTCCAAGGGTCTCTATTGACTCCATAAAGTCAACCTTAGTTCCCTCAAGTTGTCCAGTCATATCTGAGTCTATGCAGGTCTCTCTCAAATATGACATTCCAGTCAGAGCCTTGGTAATATAACCAATGTTTCCCATGGTGTCCTGTTACAAGGAGAACAGATACTAATGAACTTAGGCAAATAATTATAATTGCTATGAAAGGAAAACTACTCATTAAGAGTTTCAGAATTCTGGAGGGTTCCGGTAAAGGGAGAAAAGTTAAATGTTTCAATTTGTTCAAAAAGGAATACTTTATCATATTTTTGTAAGTCGTAGATATCTGAAGAGAAAACTTCCTTACATTTAAGGAACCAGCAGTGTTTCAAATAAGAGTCATAAAAACTATTATCATCTTCCTCAATTCATTTAGTCCCATGTTACTAATTCTTGTTCCATTTGCAGCTTTCCCACTAGTTCTGGAAAATCTTACTCAGCTTAGTTTTATGACCTTAAAGATATCAAAAAATCTGTGTTTGTCAAAAAGTCCTTTTCATGAATCTCCTTGAAGATGAAACATATTTTGCAAGAGCATTAGAACATTAACTCTAAAAGACAAAGAAAAGCTCAAAAATGGCCATGGTTAAAGATCTGATGGAAGTTCATTATGATGCAGATGGCAAGGAAATCTGGTAATTTCGTGACACACAACATTTCAATAATTAGAATGTCAAGCGATGACTTGACATATTAAAACTTTAGGGGTCTCATATAATTTCTAGAACAGTTATAGCATTTACCCAAACAACATAATCTAAGAAGGTTTATCATCATTTGTTTGACAACGTTTCCCATTTAATTGAACATACCAAATAAACAAGCCTAATTTAGTCAGAAAGGCTTCCTTTAAATTTGAATCTTAGGGATTTTGTTACAAACCTCAAAAGGTTTTAAAGCACATGCCTAAATTGAATTACAGAACATTATAAACCTTAATATTTAGTATCTATTTACCCAAGCTGGCAATATGATATTCTACAGAGAATTACACAGTTGTTAGCAAAACTTAGCCCCTTCAATATTGAGAAGTTTTAACTTTTTAAGTAATCAAAGACCTGATAAAGACAAAGCATAGAGACTGTGTTTTTCTGGGCAGATAAGGAAAAACTTTGTTTACGGTTTCTTATCAAGAGTAGGTCAACAAACGGCGCCTGGGTGGCTCAGTTGGTTAAGCAACTGCCTTCGGCTCAGGTCGTGATCCCAGGGTCCTGGGATCGAGCTCCGCATCGAGCTCCCTGCTCAGCGGGGAGCCTGCTTCTCTCTCTGCCTTTGCCTGCCACTCCCCCTGCTTGTGCTCTCTCTCTGTGTCAAATAAATAAATAAAATCTTTATTAAAAAAAAAGAGTAGGTCAACAATCCAAGAAAACCTTGTCTTATCTTAAGAGAGAGAGAAGCAGAACCTCAATTCTGACTTAGTGTACTTTTAAGGCTCATTCATTTTAACCTTAGTTTGTCCGGATCACAAATAAAATTCATTGAAAGATTCCCCTTCACAAACCTTCTATAATTTTCTTTTTCATTCATATTTTGTCCTCAGCCTTCTCTCTAAACTGTCAGTCTTAATTTTAGGACAAAATTACTTTCTTTTCCCCCGCCCTCAATATATTCCCATTCCTTGTATCTTATCGAAACACATCTTAACTTTTCTTGCATACTGAGTTGTTTTCCCTATAATTTCTAACAGACTCAATTATATTTATTAGGATTTTGACTTTTAAAAACCTCAGTCTCCAGTGAAAACTAAATAGAAACCAATGGTAAACTGTTACACCAGAATTCTTTAGATTGACAAATTTATGAATGTATTTCACAATTTCTAGAAACATTTTTTCATAGTATAATTTCATTAAGCATAAAGCATCTTTATTAACAGACCCAAGTATCCTCAGTTTCTCTGCAATATGAAGCCAAAAGCAGACAAACCTTCGTTCTGTAATCAATGCTTTAGTATTCTATCTTATTTGAAAAAAAAAACACCAACCAAAAAACCTAGATATTCAATGAATTCAACCCATCATTTAATTTAGCAAAACTTCAAAGTTTCAGGTTATCAAAGGTTTTGAAAGCTATTTAAAAATTTTACTTGCAAACCTTTTTATCTATTCAACCTACTTGTTCTTACTTATTACCCATCACGTTTTTAGGAGACAGACAAAATCAACCATCCTATTAAGTCATTTTTGCTGACAAATCACAACAGATACAATATGAACTTAATAAATTCAGATAGGATGAAAGTTGATTATCTGTTATATTTGATGTTGGTAACTCCAAAAGACATGTCCATTTTAATTTACCAAAGATTGTCTCAGATGACGAGAACTTGAAAAATCTTTGGGTTCGTTTTTACCTTTCTGACTTTGAGAATGCCCAATGTTTGTAAGTACTTATCTTTCAACCAATGAAATCGAGCTCTTACCTGCTCCTGGTGCATGTTTCCAGGGAAGACAAGCGCTATAGCCTCCTATGTCCAGGGTTGTAAGGGAAGGAGGAGGTGCAGAAGGGCCAAGAGCCAGGGTGGAAATTTGAACAGGGAACAACAACAGCAAACAGGCCAAACAACCAGGTGGGATGGAGATTTCTTTCACTCTCCTAGACCCTAGACTAGTCTCTATTAGATCACTCCCATTTCGCCAGGCTGGAGCATCCAAGCCTCTGAATGGCCGTGTCATGGGATCTTTTGTCACTGGGGATGTCTAGACTCCACACCAATGGAGTGCTCAATCCCCCAGAGTGTTTACCAGAGAGGTCCTGTTTGCCCAGAGTATTCCGATTGTTATGCCGGCTTGCCCAGACTTTGTGAGACAACTCTAGCTTTACCTCCCAAAGCTGTGCCACGGATCTGGCGTAACTCACCCCAAGATAAATCCTTTTGAGTAAAAGTAATCAGAGTGGCCCCTGGATTTCAGATGAGGCCAGAATGCCAGGCCAGCCCTCACAAGAGAGTCCTCTCCAAGGAAGCTGCTCCTGGTCCCTGTAGCTTGAACTGGTTCTGTCGGGTGAGCTGCCACAGCCTCTTGCTCCATCCACTGGAAACCAGGGGACCAGAGGCCAGAACCTCAGAAGGACCAACAGTCCCATCTGGAGCACCAAGTTTCTAATGGAACCCACGTGAGTTCCCTCCTTGGTGAGTCCCAGATACAGCAGGTGGAGTGGTCCCACAAAGGAAACTTTATTTGCAGCAAATAAGATCACCGAGATTAACTTCCAAAGCCGTGACTCCCTGAGCAGGGGTGGATGAGTTCCTTCTATTGAGGGTTAGGGTGAATATTCAGACAGGGAAGACTTGGCATCATTCTCTTTCCATTTGCCTGAGTTCAGCGATAAGCTGGAAAGAAGAGCTTAAGGAAAAATGTGGGACGAAGGTGAGTGAATACAAGCAGGTGGGCAGTGAAGGTCAGGTCTTGGGGTCTAGCTGGTGACAAATCCCTCCTCTAGTATTTTCCTGGTCCTCATTCTTGAGTGGCACAAGAAGAAAGTCTGTTTTCTGTAGCTATTTACTGCTGGACATGGACGGAGTCATAGGAATTGATAGAGGAGCAGATTATCCCTCGGCTAGCTTTAGGCATGTCTGTGGGTCACCAGCTTTCCCCCACGCCGCTCATACCCTTGTGTTATGACTATATGTAATTTGATGATCTCTATGCACGTGGACCCAAATTGTACCCAACAGTTAAGTATGTGAGGTGCAATCGGTAATAAAAGCAGTCTTCAGTTTGTTTCCCTCTGCTATGATCCTCCCGAGATTTACTAGGGAATTTAGTTCCCAAGGATGCTCTAGTGTGTTTATGGCTTTTTGCCTCTCTAGGATAATAGTGACCAGGACTGACATCAAGAAGGTGTTCATTTTATTTATTTATTTATTTATTTATTAAAGATTTTATTTGTTTATTTGACAGAGAGAGACAAAGCGAGAGAGGGAACACAAGCAGGGGGAGTGGGAGAGGGAGAAGCAGGCTTCCCGCCGAGCAGGGAGCCCGATGCGGGGCTCGATCCCAGGACCCTGGATCATGACCTGAGCCGAAGGCAGACGCTTAACGACTGAGCCACCTTGGTGCCCCAAGAAGGTGTTCATTTTAAAATCAGACCAAAGGGGCGCCTGGGTGGCTCAGTTGGTTAAGCGACTGCCTTCGGCTCAGGTCATGATCCCGGAGTCCTGGGATCAAGCCCGGCATCGGGCTCCCGGCTCAGCGGGGAGCCTGCTTCTCCCTCTGACCCTCTCCCCTCTCATGCTGTTTCTCTCTCTCTCTCTCAAATAAATAAATAAAATCTTTAAATAAAAAAAAAAAGAAAAAAAAATCTTCAGACTTCCATTTCTGTTACCCGTTTTAATGAAAACAAAAATGTGTACTGATTGCATCTTAAAATGGAAATGATTGTATTCTTTCCCTATTAACCATTCCTAATCTACAGGGTATTTCTCAAATGTTTCCACATAAACATCCTCAGCTGGTGTAGGAACACGACTTCACCCCTGGCAGAAAGAGGAGGTGACCTGGAAGTATTGCCCAAAGTGAACCACTGAGGACTAGAAATTTACTTGAACTCTCCTCTGTTTTGTTTCCCGGTGTTACTGCCTTTAAAATTCATCTAAAAATTACAATCTACTCCATGTCATTTGGATTTCATTTTAAAGATAACATTGTAAATTATCTAAGTAAAATGAACTTCTCAAAGATGCTTCCTTTTTTAAGTCTTGTTTCCTCCAGGACCCACTGTGTACCCCTGGGGTGCACCTAAGCTTGTTTGAGAAGCATGGATCTATGCCTGAGCTCACTGAAGAAGGTAAGGCTTTCAGACTACCCTCCTAATTATGAAGCACGTATTCAGAGCCTTTGTATAGACAAATGTGTGGCAATTGCTCACCTCCAGTGGTTTACTCTGGTTTAGGAGAAAAAGCACACCGGGCCATAGAATGATGAATATAACCACGTAAGGCCATGCCTGATAGATGCCAGGTGAGTGGCAGAGATATGTACTATGAGCATGTGGAGGAACACAGATGTTACTGAAACTTTTTGGCTAGGGGTTCACAGAGCTGGTAGTGGGTCAAGGCTCTGAAAGATTGTAAGGATTGTGATCACAAAGAAGGGGACGAGGGCATTCCAGAGAGGGAGGGGGGTGTGGTGACGGCAAGGTGCCTTGGGGGGGGGGGGTGATAAATAGTCTAATTAAGCTGAAACAAAGCACCTGTAGCGTTGAGGCGAGCCAGATACAGATGAGAAAAGAGACTTGGCTGCCAGGCTCAGGAGTTGGTGGGTCTTTCTACAGTGGGGTTATTTAAGGGCTGTACGCCTGAGGGGTGATTTGTGCAAAGGGACACATTTGCTGGTTAATCTGACAGCAGTGTGTTGGTTGAATTGTAAGGCATGAATAGTTAGAGAACCACAGCAGTCGTCCAGGTTATTATTTAATTAAGGCCTGGTGCAAAATAGTGTCCACAGAGGAAAGGGGGGAGGGGAGACAAAGCGAATGAGAAAGATGTTTCATGCCTATAAAATTTAATAGCATTTTGGTGATCATAACCTTTACAGAATAAGTGCTTTTTAAAAAGTATTCTGTTATTCTGCTGTTTTCTGGCTTGAACATATTGAATCGAATCCGAAAGCCCCCATACAATTGCTCTCAGTCTTTACCCAGAACTAGCTTAGAAGATGTTTTGTTGGGCGCCTGGGTGGCTCAGTTGGTTAAGCGACTGCCTTCGGCTCAGGTCATGATCCTGGAGTCCCGGGATCGAGTCCCGCATCGGGCTGCCTGCTCAGCGGGGAGTCTGCTTCTCCCTCTGACCCTCCCCCCTCTCATGTGCTCTCTCTCTCTCATTCTCTCTCTCAAATAAATAAATAAAATCTTAAAAAAAAAAAAAAGATGTTTTGTTAACGGGAAGCTTACTCACGGGGTTTACCCTTAAATCCTCTTTGGAAGAAAGCAGAGAATAAATAAAATTACTCATGAGGCATGATAACAGGGCAAAGAGGGCGAATGTAGAACAACTGTGTGGGAGATGGATTGCTCCTTGGTTTTACAACCTTGCTTGATTCTTAGGAAGTAAGGGGCACAGGAGGGTTTCTTGTAGAAAGGAATTCATTAAGTGTTTAAGAAATGCTTTCAACCCAGCTACCTTCTCCTTTTTTGGAGAAAGCCTGAAGCACCGTAGTGCACGGACAGCTTAACAAAGACCGGAAATGGAGCTGAGTCCTCAGAACAGCCCTCTGAGGACGTCAATTGACCATGTTGTTTTCATTTACTTGGAAAGGAATTCCCTTTGAAAGTGCAGTAAGGTGTGTCTTTCCCCTTACTTAGCGGCCGCTCTGTCTGCTAAGAAGATCTACTGAGGTAATCTTATGGTACATACTTCTGTCTTACATGTGAAGAACTAAAGGTTATAGCAATTAACCACTTAACTCAGTGATTCTGTTTTAGAACTGATGATTAGCCCATCCTCGTTAGAATATTCTTTTGCCCTTTGCCCGTGGAAAGCATTTGCTCGCAGAAAGTCTGACACAGCTGTGGGAGCTCTGCTTAATTACAGCTGAACAGAGACCAGGGAACACTGAATTCTGGCCAGCTTGGCCCCTGTCAATCAATACCCATTATTTTAGGAGAAAAGAAAAAAAAGGAATAGTTGCATAAAATGATCAGAGACCCATATGTCCTTCCACGTAACAAGCAGCAGAAGGGCTCAGCCCTCCACACTTCTGTGCTGATGAGTCGATGAGCAGGAAGGAAAAGTGTAACTTGGAGAAATGCTTGGACTGTTGTCCTAAGTTCATCCGTAGATATGGGCACACACAAATGTTCCTCTATCAATTCTGCTGATACTTCTGTTGTATTGAGAGGGTGAAGAGTTAAGTCAGAGAAATCTTTTAATTAAAAACAATCTCTGGGCCACCTGGGTGGCTCAGTTGGTTAAGCGTCTGCCTTTGGCTCAGGTCATGATCTCAGGGTCCTGGGATCCAGTCCCGCATCAGGCTCCTTGCTCAGTGGGGAGCCTGCCTCTCCCTCTGTCTGCCGCTCCCCCTGCTTGTGCTCTCTCTCTGTCAGATAAATAAATAAAATCTAAATAAATAAATAAAAACAATCTCTGATTCTCAGAAATTCTGCTTTTATCTGGTTCCTTCTCTGTTGTTTCTTAATAGCCAGACGTTTGTTTTCTTAGTTTTTTCAAACAGTGAATTTTTGGATGAATTTTATTTTGCTTTCTAATTCATTAACTCATTTTTTAATCTTTGTAATTTTCCCTCCTGCTTTTCTTAGCTTTTAATTTTTTTTTCCCTTTCTACTTCTTGGGTTGAATTTTTCACTTATTTTCATTCTTTCTTGTTGACTTATAAAAGCATTTAAAACCATGAATTTTCTGGGGCACCTGGGTGGTGTAGTCAGTTAAGTGAACGACTCCTGGTTTTGGCTCAGGTCCTGATCTCAGGGTCGAACCCCCGCATCAGGCTCCGTGTTCAGTGCAGAATTTGCTTGAGATTCTCTCTCTCTCCCCCTCTGTCCCTCATGCTTGTGCTCCGTCTCTCTCTAAAATAAATAAATAAATCTTTAAAGAAAGCTATGAATTTCCTATCTACATAAGTTTGATAACATCCAACAAATTTTAATAAATAATGTCATTGTTGGTCTTTTCTGCAAAATAATCACCATACTGATTTCTATTTAATAAATGGTTTTGGTAAGACGGGTCTTGGTTTCCAGGTGTATTTTGTCTTTCCTTAAAAATATGACACATTTCTAAGATTGTTTGCTTTTGCATTGGGGTCATACAGCCTGTATTGCGTCCCCTTTGGGGAATATACTGAGGCTTGCTTTGTGGGGAAAAATCAGAAGATATTCCATAAACAAGTATTTTCTCTGAAGTGTACAAGATACCATGAAGTATTTGTTTTTCTTTCTTTGACTTATTTCACTTAGCGTAATGCTTTCAAGATTCATCCATGCTGTCACAAATGGCATGAAGGATTTCCTTCATTTTCACAGTTGAGTAATATTTCATTGTGTGTGTATCTATACATGTACATAAATGTATGTGTGCATATTACATCTCTTTTGTTCATCTGTGGATAGACACTTAGGTTGTTTCCCTATTTTGGCTATTGTGAATAATGCTACAATAGACATGGGAGTGCAGATTATCTCTTCAATATCCTGTTTTCTTTTCCTTTGGATATAAACCCAGAAATGGGAGCACTGGATCATGTGGTAATTCTATTTTAAATTTTTGGAAAAACCTCCATACTGTTTTCCACAGTGGCTGCACCAGTTTACATTCCTACCAACAGAATCTATCATCTATCTATCTATCTATCTATCTATCTATCTATCTATCTATCTATCTATCTAGCATCTAGCATCTACCAAACTCTTGATTTGGGCTCAGTTCTTTTTTTTTTGTTTTGTTTTTTAGATTTTTTTTTTTTTTTTTTTTTTTTTTTTATCAGAGAGAGAGAGACAGAGGCGGGCAGAAGGAGAAGCAGGCTCCTTGCTGAGCCAGGAGCCCGATGTGGGACTCGATCCCAGGACCCCGGGATCATGACCTGAGCCGAAGGCAGACGCTTAACCGACTGAGCCACCCAGGCGTCCCATGGGCTCAGTTCTTGATACCTTTTTTTTCCCTCCATATTCTCACCCATATGTGTTATCTTTTGTCTTTTTGATGGTAGCCATTCTAACAGATGTGAAGTGATAGCTCACTGTGATTTCAATTTACATTTCCATGACGATTAATGATGTTGAGCCCCTTTTCATGTACCTGTTCATCATTTGTATATCTGCTTTGGAAAAATGTCTATTCGGGTCCTTTGCCCATTTATAAATTAGATTGTAGGTGTTGTTTTTGTTTTGCTATTGAATTGTATGAGTTCTTTATACATTTTGGATATTAACCTCTTATCAAAATAAAGACTTTGCAAATATTGCTTCCATTTTGTAGGTTGCCTTTTCATTTTGTTGATGGTTTGCTTTGCTGCGCAGAAGCTTTCTAGTTTGATGTAGTCCCACCTGCTCATTTTGCTTTTCTCACCTTTGCTTTTAGGGTCAAATCCCCCCAAAAATCATTGCCAGAACTGATGGGCAGGAGCTTACCACCTATGTTTTTTTTTCTTGGAGTTTTATGGTTTCAGGTCTTACATCCAAATCTTCCTGCCTCAACTTGTACCTCTAGGCCAGTTCCAAAGCTGTCATGTTGAGACGTCCCTTCCTGCTCCTGGTTCTGATCTACTGTTTCCTGAATCCCAGGTTTTCATTTTCTTGGCTTATCCCCTTGTTTGGCTGGAGTACATATATATATATATATTTTTTTTTAAAGATTTTATTTATTTATTTATTTGAGAGAGAGAGAGAGAGAGAAACAGCATGAGAGGGGATAGGGTCAGAGGGAGAAGCAGGCTCTCTGAGAGCCGGGAGCCCGATGCGGGACTCGATCCCAGGACTCCGGGATCATGACCTGAGCCGAAGGCAGTCGCTTAACCGACTGAGCCACCCAGGCGCCCCTGGAGTACATCTTTAACTAAGATATGTGAGGAAGGCAAAACTTCTGAGTCCTTGCTTGTCTGCATTTTTTTTTTTTTTTTTTTAGTCTTCCCTCGACTTTATCCCTTCCTTGGATAATTGAGAGTTTGGCTGAGTACCGAATTTTAGATTGTAAATTTTTCCCACTCAGATTTTTATAGATATTAATTCCATACCTTCCGATGTCTAATTAGTTTGCAGGAGATTTGTTTTCTTCCGTCTTAACTTTCATAGTCATATTTGTAGATATGAGAATTTTTCCTTTGTTCTTATTATTAGTTCATACATCTTCTTGATGTTAAGACAAGTCGTCTTCTCATGCCCTGGGAATTTTCCAAAAATGGAAGGAAATTTCCTTCCTTCTTTGCCTCCATTGTCATCTAACACTCCTATTAAATATTGAATCCTCTATGTTCTCCTTTATGGGAGACTTTCTCTAGTGCCTGTCAAC